GTAAAGAGGTAACTCCTGCTTGTGGGGATTTCATCCCACAGGATCTCAGCCATGGAGCAGAGCCTCTGCCAGGAGGGGTCTGTAATCCCACAGGGCAGCCAGGCTCGTGCATCCCACTGGAATCCTCCCAGCAAGCCCCATCTGCCTCTTCCCTTGGAAACCAAATCCTTTCATCCACCTTCAAGTGGATAAACCCTCACTCCCCATCTCTTTTGGGCACCTGCCTTCTGCACAGCACACCATGAAACACCAGCCCTGTATTGATGTCTCACATTTGACCTCTGTGCAGCACAACCCCACAAAGCTCAGGAGGGCCAAAACACCATCACCCCTTTGCCACCACTGCCCAGGCTCCCTGCAAGCCTTGATGTTCCCTCCTGTCTCCCTAATGCTTCCTATAATCCAAGTGTAAATGTTTGTCCTATGACAGGGAGAGCTGGCATGTAAAACATGTCCCCCCACACACAATGTATATATTTATCCCAGGCTGCCATATGCTTCCCAGTGGGTACCACGGCAGGAATGCTGCGTGGAGCAGAGCCAGGACCCTCCTGCATCCCCACCCCAGCCCCCTGCACAGGCTGTGCTGCTGAAACCCAGCCCCCAGGATGAGAAACACCTGCTTGTCCCCCAGCCCATCCATGCAGAGCAGCGCTGATCACACAGAGCAGCCCTGATCGCTGCCCAGAGGGGAAAAAAGGGATTTTCTCATGAGTGATGCACAGATCCTGCTCACAGCTCCACGGCCCTGGGGATGACACCAGGGAGGTGAAGGGTTTAATCTCGTCCCAGTGCCTATATATGGTCACTGTGATGGAGCCACCTCCCCGAGCTCACGCTCTGCTGCCCTTGGCTGCTGGCACCGGGCTCGCAGCAAACTGGCAGGGCCTGGGCACGGCGCCGGCGCGCCACAAGTCAGCAGACTCACCGCGTTCCTGTGCTCTCTCTCCCCCTTTCCCAATTTTTTCTGGCTTGTAAAAAGCCTTTCATCAGTTAAAAACCACAGAGAATGCGCAAATCCACAAAAAACCCAACCCCAAAACATTTTAAGAGTGTTTTATAGAGAATTGTTGCACGGGGGAAAAAAAAAAAAAAACAAGCTGTCAAGTTAGTTATGCTTAAATGTACATTTCATAATCACTTAGGTGTTTTATGGAAAAAAAAAAAAAATTCAATCTTTTGGTGAAAAGTGTATCAATTTATTCAGCCCACATAGGCTGTTAGTGCTGGGTAGTTTGTGGCTGCAATTCCTGCCCCCCCCCCCCCCATCCACCCACCTAGGGGAAAAAAAACCTCACTGAAATACTTGCCTTCATAGGAAACGCAACACCAAAAAATGTACTTGACACGCAAAATTCTGCGAAAAGTCTGACGTGAGGACCTCTGAAAAGCCTGAGGCCAAACTGCGCCGGCTGCGAGCAGCCCCGGGAACACACACAGCACAAAACCTGTGCCAAGGGCAATTTATCTTCATTTTATCCATCCAGCCAGCAGCTTTCAGGGGGTCCTGGTCACAGCTACCACAGAACTGCTCTCACCACCAGCATCCCAACAGCACCAGCATCCCAACAGCACCAGCATCCCCCACCCCTGGATCCCTGGGATCCTCCCCAGGGAGCGGGAGGAAGGAAGCTCCACACTCTGCCTCCATCCTCTGTCCCAGCACTCTGATTTTTATTACCTCCGTCCCCATTTAGGAGTAACCACATGACAGAGCCCAGCGCAATCCTGCCCGGGGAGCTCGCCTGGGATTGCCTCTCCCTCCCCTGGAACACAGCATTTTAGCAAGTTTTCCCTTCACAGCATTCTTTGCAGCCACAAATTCTGCTAAGATTTAATTTTATTTTTGTTTTTTTCAGATGCCTGTTCTGCCTCCAAACATTTGCTCAAAAACGAGTTGAACTTAAAAAAAAAAAAAACAAAACCAAAAACCCCAACAAAAAATAAACCACTAATGAATCACAGTTCCTAGCAAATGAGCAATTGCAGTTGACACAATGAATTATGCCTGAAGCAAGCTGGGAAACATATTTTGCAAATGATCTCATCCACAGGCAAACCTGGCATGACACTTGATTTGCTAAAAAAGACACAAAGCCTGTCAAAATTCCTGTCACTCCGCAAATAAAGTCAGGTAGAGAAAACCAACAGCCTCACCCTCTTTTAAGCACGCTTCACCTATTTCTCAATTGCTCTACAGGCTTGATTGAATAAAATAACAAAAACCCCACACGCCCTCCTGTAGGTGTGCCCATCCCAGTGGGTGCTGAGGGCCACGGGATGTGCTGCCACTTCCCTGGATGAGGAATAAATGGGCTGGGAAGCTGCTCTGCTCTTTGGATGCCAAGCCCAGGCTCGGCTCGATTTGAAGCCTAATTGCAGCAAGATCCGATGCTCGATGCTCGCCCTGGCCATTAGGTATGGCAGGGAGCTCACAATTCCCTTTAATTTCCTCCAGCTGCATGCCTGGGTTTTATTTCTTTCATTGCATTCAAGTAAACTCAAAGGTTAGAAAAGAGAGGAGGGGGGGAAAAGCCGCTCAAGGGCAGCCCCCCCTGCTCCCCACATCCCTGGAGCTGTCTCGGAGCAGTTCCCTTTGGCCCAGCACATCCCACCCTATTTCCCCACCTGAAAAGCTGCTGGCTCAGAAAACCTGGAAAAACTCAAAAGCCATGGCTGAACCCTCCTTCTAACCCCATTTTGTCAGAGTATTTTTAAACACAGAGCAAAGCTGAGTCCCAGCACTCTTTCCCGGGTTGTTCCATGGTGTTTGTCCCCAATGCCTGTCCCCCTGTGCCAGCTCTGACCCCATCCCTGCCCACCCCACAACCTTACAGGAGGCTGGGCAGGACCAGGGGCTGTGCAACAGCCTGAAATAAATATTTCCACTCCAAGGTGAGCTGGGCTGTGTCCCCAGCCAGGAAAGCACAGTCTGGAGGTTCCTCCCAAGCCAGCCCTGACCTCCCCGGGTGGATCAGGCTCTGGCAGGAGCTCTGTTGGTGTTTCTCCCTGGCCAGCAATGCTGCAAAGTGGCCTCGCTCCTCCTGACACCTCCAGCTGGGATCTGAGCCAAAGCCCAGCCCAAGGGACTCACCTGGACGCTCCAGCCAGGCTCAAGTTCAAGGAGAAGGGAATTTTCCTTTCCTGGACTAACAAGCAGCGAGGATGCTCCGTGTCCCCCCGAGCGTGGGGACGCTGCCCTGTCACTGGCACCAGCCAAGAGGAGCCAAAATCTGCCTCCAGTTCCAGCAGGCTCCCTCAGGAAAGCACAGTCATGGCTGGGGGAGCTAAAAGGCTTTTATATTGCCAGAGGGCTCCAAAAATATCACTTCCAAAGTGATCCAGCATCAGCACACGCATCCTGGCTAATGGCATCCATCTCTCACAACACAGGGGGGCTCTGGGAAAACCTTGGGGAGCCCTGGACAAGGTTTTGGGGCTCTGCCCTGCACAGCCACAGCCCAACCAACTCACAGACCACCCTCTGGCCCCCGTGGGACCCCCTGCTCCTGCCCTGATGCCTGGCTTTACTCCACTCTCTGTAATTCCAGATGCCTTGGGAGAGATTTTTTTGACAAATTTAAAGTTTCAGAAATCCATCCCCACCCTGCTCTGTCCCAATATGACAGCTTTTACCCAGTGAAGCCTTAATTAAAAGGCCTCTGCAGGAGAAAAACCCCAAAACACAGCAGTTACAGCCACAGAAGGACATTTACTCTCAGGAGGGATGAGATCCCTAATTTTTTTTTCCACTTGCCACTTACTTCAAATCCAAGCATTATCCCCCCCATCATCCTCACCTTGGGGTCACGGCCTTGCTGTCCTCAGCTGGGCAAGCCACAGCAAGTCAGCTGCTGAGGAACAGCTCAGCTTTGCTCATTTTAGTTAAAAGCTTTCAGAATTTCAGAGCAGGCTGTGAATCTGGCAGGAGGTTTGGGGGAGAGGCGTGCTGGGATGCCGCAGTTTGGAGCAGCTCTGCTCTGCCCAGGACCCCAGGGGCAGCGTCCCCGCGGAGCAGCAGCGGCAGCAGCAATCATCCCGCTTTGTTTACCGATCCCAGCTTCTCCTGCTGTTTAATATTTCAGCTGGAGAAGGTGAGCCGGCACGCCAGCCCCTCAATTACGCAGGGCGAGAGGCAAACACTTGGCAGGCAGCGAGCACATCAAGCTGCCCACAAGCTTCGCAAATGCCTCCGGAAAGGAGGAGGGGGGAGAGAGGGGAAGAAAAAAAAAAAAAAAAAAAAAAAAAGGGAATATTCAAATTAACGAGCCGGCGGGTAATGGAGACTTGGCTGGAAGTGATCGTGCACTTCGCCGTCGGCCGGGCCGGGGAGCAGCACGCGATGTACCGCTGGCTTTGGCTTTTCCTAGGGCAGGGGAGATGTTTGCAGAAGTCCTTGAGCGCTGTAACTACAGCAGGGCTGCGGCGGGCACGGAGCGCTCCGGCCCCGCTCCCGCACACCGGCAGAGGGGTCCCCCGGCCATGGGGCACATCCCACCCGTGCGAGGGGACCCCCTGAGCCCCCACGGCCCGGGGTCCATCCCCGAACCCCAATTCCGGGGTCCGGCCGGGTTTTGGATTGCAGTCTCTCCCGTTTCGCAGCGTTTCCCTCCCCTGCGAGCCAAAGTCCGCCTGCGGCTGCATTCACCCCTAACCCGCAGCCCCCGAGGGGGTTCCCGCACAGCCCAAGCCCGCATTGCCGCAGGACCGCCAGGAACCCCGAACGGCGCTTCCCGCGGGGGTACCGGGGGTACAGCCCGGCCGGTCCCCCCTGCCCTGCCCTGCCCTTCCCCTCCCGCTCCCCCGGCCGGGACCCCCGGGACCCGCGGGTAAAGGGCGCGATGCGCGCGTCCCCAGCCCGGCACAGCCCAGCCCAGCCCGGCACGGCACAGCCCGGCCCGGGGGCGATGCGGGCTCGGCGCTGCCCCGGGCGCTGCCGGGGCCGGGCCGGGGCCGGGCCGGGGGTCGGGGCCGGGCCGGGGTCCCGGGGCTGCGCTCACCTGCGGGGCGCCGGCCCCCGACGCTGCCCTGGGCCTGACGCGGCGGGGCCGGGCGGCGGCAGGAAGTGATTCCAGCCGCTCCTCACATGGACTTTCCCTGACCTCGCCCAGCAGCGCCGGCAGCCGCCGCACAGACCGGCCCGGCGGGACCGGCACCGGCAGCGGCTCCGCGCCAGGGCCGCCCGCGGGGCGGGGGCGGGCGGGGGGCGGCACCGGCCCGGGGGGACCCGCGGGAGGAGCCGCGGGGGGCGGCACCGGCACCGGCGCGGACACCGCGAACCCCCCGGGCCGAACCCCCGGGCCCGGGAGGGGCGGGCACGGCCCGGAGCGGGGCGGGAACCGCGGGGCTCGGGCTGCTGCCTGCGGCTCCCGGTGTGTACTATTTTATTTTATTTTATTTTATTTTATTTTATTTTACTTTATTTTACTTTATTTTATTTATTTTTATTTTATTATTATTTTAGTGTATTCCATTCCATTTTAATATTTTTATTTTATTATATTCTATTATTATTTTATTTTATTCTATTCTATTCTATTGTAATATTATTTTACTTTTTATTTTTTTATTTTATATTTTATCCTATTCTATTTGTCTATTCTATTTTACTCTATTCTATTTTTAAAATTTTATTGTTTATTTGTATTTTATTTTTTGTCTATTTTATTTTTATTTTTAGTCTATTTTGTTTTTACTTTAGTCTATTTTGTTTTTATTTTATTTTATTCTCGCTTAATATTTCGTCTCATTTTAGCCCTTCTTTTATTTTGTATTATTTCTTTTTTGCTGTTTATATTTTTAATTTCCTCTTCCTCTTTCGCTTTATAAATTCCATTTATTTTGTCTGTTTATACTTTATTTACTTTAATTTTTCTTTTACCTGATAATTTATTTTTTCTTTTTTATTTTTTTGCTTCATTTAATGTATTTTTCATTTAATCTCATTCCTGTTATTTATTCATTTATTTATTTATTTATAATTACACTTACTACCTTAATTATTTCACTATATAATGAGCTTCCATCCCAGTTTTGGTGTTTATCCCAGCCCAGACTGGATGTCACAGGGAGATGCCCTGTGCTGACCCCCAGCTCCAGGGCTGCCCCTTTTCCACACCCTCCTCCTGCAGAAAAAGCCTCTCAAGCATCACAAAAAGCAGAGTGATCTGAGGTGGGACTGCTCGAGCCTTGTGGGCACATTTCCATTCCAAATTTCATCCCACTGCCTAAAAAATTAAAAAAAGTCCTTTTGCTTTGTTGCCTCCCTAAGCCCAAAATATTAAAATCAGCAAATTTGCATGATGAAAGTGTGCAGCGTTGGCCCTACGTCTGCTAAAGGAATTTCAAAGGAGTAACAAAAAACCTCTTTAAAGCAGGAGCCTCTTGCTGTCTGCTTTGCATGCGAGATTATGTCAGAACTTCTTTGGATCTGGAAGTTTCTCTCCTCTCACACTCACCAACATTCATCATTTCGAGGCTGCCTCAAAATCTGCGGCAAAATATCCCCATATTTTAAAAATCAGCATTGAATGCCTAGAACTGCTCAAGGCTGAGGAATTTCATTAGCACTTGACACTTTAAAAAAACAGTGTCAGGTCAGGACAAACACATTTTGCTTTTCTTCTCAAGATAAATTCGGGGTTTTTTTTTAGAAATGATGCATGAGAAATATGTCCCCAACTGCATTCTGAGCAGAGCAGTGTGAGAGCCCAGCTCCTCTTCCTCGGTTTCCATTGCAGCATCTCCACATCAGCTCATCAGGGAGGGGTGGCAGCAAAAGGGGGAATGGTCCCAGCTGAGGGAGGGCAGGGTTGGGTGGGATTTTGGGAAGAAATCCTTCCCTGGGAGGGTGGGGATGCCCAGAGCAGCTGGGGCTGCCCCTGGACCCCTGCAAGTGTCCCTGGAAAGGGATTGGAGCCACCTGGCATAGGGAGAGGTGGAATATGAGAAATATCTCCTGCAAGAAGTTCCCTGGCCCAGGAGATGCCCCAAAGCACCTTGTGGGGCACAGCACTTCTATGGGGTGACAGCACTGTCCCCTGTCCCCCCCTGAGCCCCACAGCCACATCAGAGCATCCCTGTGTCACACAGGACGTGGGGAAACGGCTCAGGGCACTCGTGTGGCCCCAAGGTGCTGCGCTGAGCAGCTCAGCGCAGGGATTTGGGGTTTGGGAGCACCCAGCACCTCCCTGAGGGGCTCAGAAAATTCAGCCACATCCACAGGGAGCTGGAAAACTCCAGTTCCTCCTGCAGTGCTCCAACAGGAGAGGAGCTCTGAGCTCTGAGACTCGCCCAGGGCCTCCCCAGCTTGCAGAGGCAGCAGAGCCCTTAATGCTCCAGAGCAGGAGCATCTCCCTCCCTTCAGCCATGGACATTTTAAAAATGTTCTGTGATGGAGAAAGAAACATTTCTTAAGTACCATTTGATGTCTCAGAATGGCTCCGGGGCTAGAGAAAACATGTTTATTTACTACTCTGCTGATTTTAATGCGAAAGATTGGTTCAGTGAGTAGAGGAAACAAACCAGGCAACATTTTCCATAATGTCTGCAAAGTGTTCCTGGGCTGCGGAAATATTTTCTTTCTCTCTCTCTCTTGCCTGCGTTTTTTTTTCAATCTAGCATTTCAAATTGAAGAATGGCTTGAGGGCTGAAGAAATCACTTGATAAAATACCCAACATTTACATTCTTGCAGGAGAACAGCTAACTTTTTTATTTTTTTTTTTTTTCCATCTGAACAGTGGTTTAGTGATGCAGAAGAAACAATCCTGCAGCATCCCACGTCCCTTTAACCCCTTCTGGCTGCAGCTGAACTTTCGCTGTTCGCTGCAAAGCTTTAGGGATTTTTGTTCCTTCTCCAAATTCTGGGCTCTAAGGCCACTGCAGGTGGCTAAAATACGCTTTGCAGCTTGATTTCCAGGTGGATTTCTGGATGTCTGGGTGAGGGAGCCAGCCCATGGCAAAGCAGCAATCGCTGCACCAATCTCTGATTTATTTTGTGCAGGGACGTGACTTTCCAGCAAACTCTGGAAAGCAAAAAGGTCTGTCTAATGTTCCTGCCCCCGAGGTGCTGGGGTGGGAATGCCCCTGGAGTGATTCCCAGCACTTTGTGGTGCTGGGATCACCCTGAGCAGGTGCTGCAAGACCTGCAAAAATTCAGGAGACTCCTTACCCTGCAGCAATCCTTCAGAGGACCTCAATTGTCACATTAGGAAGGATTTTTGCAGTTTGCTTTGTAGGTAGAATAAGTTTTAGGTCCCCAGCCCAAGGTGTGAGCAATATTTGTGCTGGGCTGTGAGCTGCAAGGCCTTGAGGAAGGTGGAGAGGATCTCCAGAACCCTTCCCTGGGATGGCCCAGTTAGGCAGCCCTGAGCACAATTGATATTCATGGAGGGAGGAGAGGGCACGGGGCTCTGTTACAGGGATCAGCATCACACCCAGAATGGTGGCAAACAACAAAATTAAACGTATCAGAACCCTCCTTTCTGTGCTTCACCTCATGCCAGAGGGATCTGCCTTCTCCTCTGTGTTCACAGCAGCCCAGTGAACTTTGCCAGGTGATGAGTTCTGCTTGTGCAGGAATAGAGACAATATTTAAAACCAAGCAGCACCATGAGTGAGGGCAGAGCTGGTTCTGTGGGGATTTGTGACAACCAGAGGCTCTGGCAGTGAAAGCAGGTGCACCCCTGTCTGCCACAAAGCTGAAATCAGGGCTGAAGGCAGCTCTTACACCCCCTTTCCCCTTGGAAAATGGACATTAAGGTGCACCCCTGTCTGCCACAAAGCTGAAATCAGGGCTGAAGGCAGCTCTTACACCACCTTTCCCCCTGGAAAATGGACATTAGAGGTTTGGTGGCCCTGCCTCCTGTGCTGTGGTGTCTCCATCTCCTCCAGCTCCAGGATTTCTCTGTGCTCCCATCAGGAGCCTGCCTGGGGTGGATTTCACTGGGAAAGCTCCAACCCTGCTGCAGTAAATCTCTCGTGGGTCACGGGGGGCCTCATTCCAGCCCAGCAATGTTTCCATGTCAGCCCCCAGAGCTCCCCTGGGAGGCTCAGAATTGGCATTTTGATGGTGTTTGGGCTCTCTGGACCTGGCTGTGACCCTGTGAGGTCTCTGGTGACAAGAGCCACTGCCACTGCAGCTGTTAATGTCCCCCACAGCCTCCAGCGCCACACATGGATGAGGTGTCAACACCACGTTTTGGGACAAGCCCCTGAAATCTCTGTTCAGCCAAAGCCACAGCACCCAGGGGATGACTCCTTACCCATGAAAGCCTTTGTTTGTTGCCTTTGGTGGCTGTTCAGCTCTCTCATTTTCTCCTTCCCAGCTCTGAGAGGGGTGCGATGGCTCCAGCTCTCCCAGCCCTCCATCCACCCCAGCTCCTGATGCCAGCCAGCACAGGGAAGCTCTGCAGGCAGCCTCTGCCACCCCCCTGCTCTGGGCAGGGCTTTCCCCCATCATCAGCACCAGGGAGGCACCCCTGGGGTGATGGGATGGACCCAGATGTTCCTGGGATCCCAGAATGGCTTGGAAGGGACATTAAAAACCACCCCAATCCAAGGGCAGGGACACCTTCCCCCATCCCAGGCTGCTCCAAGCCTGGCACTGGACACTTCCAGGGATGGGGTGAAGTTAAATTGTTATTTTTTATGAAAACCATAAATAAATCTCTGAGTTTTTCACATGAAGCCTCCACACAAGCTCTAGCATTGTCCTGTGCCATGCAGCTGACACGGTGCAGATGTGGATTGCTTTGACTCCAGCCAGGCTTATTTGGTTTACATTAAAATTAATAGGAATAAGTTAAAACAAACAGAAATGAGATGTCTCCGAGGCAGCTGCATTGTCCTGCCCAAACTGGCACAAGGCTGTGTGTAAAAAGGCTTTACTTGTTAGTAAATAGAGAAATCCTTCAGATCCTGCTGGGGAATTGCTCCAGAAGCTCAAGGCACTGCTTGTTTCCAGCTGGGTCCCAAGAGGTGAGAGCAGGACAACAACAGAAAATCGTGTATCATTGGCCTGTTTTAGTAATTATTTATTATATAATGGTGTGGTGCCTGTGCAAGTGGGAGAGGAGAGAGCCCAGCCCTGGGAGGGTTTTCTGCCTGTGTTAATTGGTGGCAGGTGCTCACAGCCTGAGCTGCAGGCCTGGGAG